GCTTTGTCCCTGTCCTTAGACTATGACAGCTCCCCTGCTTGTTTGTGTCCCCCCCCCCTTCTGTACATGGGGAGGGCTTGATTTTTAGCAAGGGAGATGGGCGGCATGGCTTAGGTGGCCCCAGAAATGGAAGGCCCATCTCCTTTAGGCTGAGGCCAGTATGTTTGTGAGTGTGGGGGGTATGCAGATAGCCAGGTGAGAGCCCCAGCAGAGGGGGCTGAGGGACGAGGGAGACAACTGGACGGTGTTCTGGATCAGGCACATAACTAGGAATGGTAGGTCTGTTGTAACCTTGACATGCTGGGCAGGCTGAGGCAGGAGGATCACCACAAGTTAGAGGCCAACCTGGACTACATAGCAAGACCCTGTCTCAAAAAACCAAATCAAAGTCAAACCAAACCTAGAATGGCACTTGCCAGTAGACAAGGTACCGAATCCAGAGATGAAGCAGTACCCCGATCCAGCTCTCTGTAGGGTCCTGAGCCTTTATGACCAGATGGGGCATGCTAGCAAGTGTCTTCCCAGGGATTATTTTGAATAGGTATAAGGACAGAGGGGCTTAGTTCTGTCTTCCGTTTTTTGAGACGGGTTCTCCCTACATAGTTCTGGCTGGCCTTGAACTCACTATGTAGCCCAGGCTGTTCTCAAACTCCTGGCAATCCTCCGGCTCGAGCCTCCCAGAGTGCTGGGTTCCCAGGCCTGTGCCACCAGGCTGGGATGGCCATTGAGCATTTGGCAAGGAGAGCTGCACACTATCTCTCGGAGCAGAGTGGGACAAATGTCACAGGGCGAAGGGCTGGAAGAAGTGTGGGGCCAGACTTGAGGGAAGGGCGGCGGGGCCTCTTGTCAGCAGAGGCGAGGGCACCCACTGTGGCTCTGCCCCTTTTGGTACAGCAGGTGAAAGCAGGCCTGAACCTGGACGGCAAGCGGGGAGAGGCCAGGGTGGAGCCGCGGGGTGAGCTTAGGTCAAGCTTCGCACCCCGAGGAGCCTGGGTTCTCTCCCAGCTGTTAATCAGGGCTCTGGGTTCTTCCCGGGCAGTTAATGAGTGTTTACAGAGGGGCTAGAGCGCCTCAGATCTCAGCTGGGCCCCCCGCTGCTGCTGAGAAGCCGGAGGAGGCCGAGTGCTCCCTGGGGACGGTGGGAGGACGGAAGGACGGACGACGCGCTTATAAACTGAGGCCAGGGCTGGAGCTCGGCTGCCACAGGATATCCTCGCGCCCGAGGATGGAGGTCACCGCCAGCCTAACCACCGCCGAAGGCCCGGCTCCAGCGAGCTGGAGGCAGAACCCAGACGGGCAGCTGGTCTTCATTAACTGCAGCTCTCGCACCCCCCACCGGGAGCCCGCAGCTTCTCCGGGCCCAGCTGCGGGGGCGTGGGGGGCGCCCCAGCCCGACCCTGCGGCTGGCACCGGGCTGGGGCCACCGCGCCGAGGGCTGAACCGCCGCCGGCTGGAAAGAAACTCCAGCTGCGCGAAAGTCCGAGCGCCGCCGGCTTCCCCGCTGGGAGCAGGGAGGAAGGGAAGGCGCGGAGGGCTGTGGGGGTGAGGGCTGGAGGTGGGGGAATTTAGGGCAAACAGCGGGAGTGAAGTCAGCTGGATGCAGGCCCAGAAAACCCCCACACCCCGGGGCCAAGTCTTACTCCAGCCCTGCTCTCAGCTCCAGCGCTGGCCGGGCCCCAAACGAGGGAAGGCCCTGGCTGCCCCTCTGCCGCCCCGCCCCCACCCTTATTAAATACACATTTTATCTCTCAGCATCTTCATTATCTTAACCGAAGGAGACAAGCGGTGCGTGGTGGCAGCGCAGCGCGTCAGGAGGGAGCGGGGTGGGGAGCAGCGGCGCACCCCGCTTACAAAGTGCTGATCCAGCTCTTTCGGGCAGTGTGGGAAACAGGGGCGGGATCAAAGGCAGCGGGACTGATTCAGAACTCAATTAGGGCTTTTTCAGAAGCGGAGCTGCCTCCTGCTCCCCTTGCTAGCCTTCAGCCTTTCTTCACTTAGCTCCTCTTGCAGGTGCCTTGGGCTGGAGTTGGGGACCCAGGGGAGTCCCCAGGGCGCCTGCATCCTCTGCCCTGCGGAATGTGCCTCCTGTAGGTCCCAGAGAAGGCATCTTGGCAATAAAGTGAAGGTGGGCTCCTCCCAGCCCCGGGCCAGCCAGAGCAGCATGGTTTCAGGGCCTCTCCAGGGACCAAGGCGTATCCCCAAAGCAGTATGGAGGTGCGGAGGTGGAACCCAGCTACCTCAGAGGAGGTGATCGGGGTACAGGGGACACAGCTGCAGATGGGCATGGACACCAGCTTGCTTGGTCCATTTACCTGTCACTTAACAAGTATCCACTGGGCACCTTCACATGGGGAACACAAATGTAAAGAGAATCCTAATCTTGCACTGTGGGACCCATGGGGTGCAGGGAAACCTGGGTTTGCTTCTTGGATGCTGAGGGGGGCACCCTAGTCTGGGCTGTTTTCTCACCTAGGGAGCAGCTCTGAGTAGATTTCTGAAAGCAGTCTAGGCCAAAGGCCTATCATATTTGTTTTTCTTTCTTTGGCGGAACTGGGGATTGAACTAGGCCCTTGCGCTTGCCAGGGAAGTATTTATTCCACTGAGCCATCTCCCCAGTCCTGTCCTATCATATTTGTATTTCTAGATTTTGTTCTTCAGAGGAGGGTAAAGGAGCCTCCACACTGAGCTATGTCCCCAGCACCAACACTTTTTACTTTTCAGACAGGGTCTGGCTCAGTTGCCCAGGCTCCCTTGGTCTCCGAAGTCCTCCTGCCTCAGCCTCTTGCAGTGACACTCCCTGGAATGGTCTATCTTGGGCAACTCTGGTGTTGAAAGCTAACGTCAACTTCATTGCGCCTCAGTGCTTTCTGTGGCCGGAGATACTCAACGCTGCCCACAAGTACATTCTACTTTAAAAAGATAAACCAAGACAGTCACCCATTCTGAGGGAGAAAGCAGGTCGGCACCTTTGCCACTACCCCATGTGCGGCACAGAGGTCCTGGCAAAGCTATGAATCACGGCCCATCACGGCCCCGCCGGCTTTGGCAATGAGGTGGCCCCTCTGCTTTCTCCTCCCCGGCGTCTGAAGCACACCTAGGACTTTGCTGACAAACCTCCACCAGCTCTTGCTCCCCCCCAAGGGCAGTGGGAACCACCGGGGGAGTCCGAGCCTGCTTCACACCTTGCTGCAGGAGCCACGCCTGCGTCAGCTGCCCAGGTCTTTTTTTTTTTTTTTTTTGCGGAACCGGGGATCGAACTCAGGCCCTTGTGCTTGCCAGGGAAGCGCTTATTCCATGGAGCCATCTCCCCGCCCCCTGCCCAGGTCTTAAGAGCAGCAATGACCTAGAAATTGACAGTGGGGTAAGTGCAGCAAAGGAAACCAACACGCTAGTACCCAGGAAGCCTCTTTCCAGTTGCAGAGGGCAGAGATGGGGCGGTGGGGGAAGCAGCATGGCCCACTGAGTCTGCAAACGTGGTCCTGGCCAGAGGCCGTGCCACAGCTGGGGCGGCGGCCGCCCGGCAGGCCACCCGCTCCCCACTCGGCCTGCACACGGAAGGAGAGGCGGAGAGGCGAGGCGGGGAGGCCGCCTGCTCCTTTTGGGCAGGATCCTACTGTGGATGCCGAGCAGACAGCAGCTGCCCACAGTGTGGAAACAAACTGTAGGGCAGTCACGTCTCTCAAGGCTGCGGCATCCAATAAAATGTAATTTAAATCAAGCCTCGCATCTGTTCTCAATCCCATTCAGTCTCTGCTTTCCATCAGCCTTCGGACAATCTTCGCGGGGCTCACATTAACCCCTCCAGCTCAGGACGGAGGAGCAGAGGGCCCCCAGGTGGGCATGCGTGCGTTGGTTTTGGCCCGAGGAGAGGTGCCGCTCAGGCTCCTGCCGGGGTGGTATTCCTTTACGGGTGCCCCCGGCCCCTCCACGCCACCTGCTGCAGTGCAGATCGCCTTACAGGGGTGCGGTGGGCAGTGCGAAGGCTGCCAGCCGGCCGGCCAGCCAGCAGATCACTTGTCCGTGATCGGGTTCCCACGTTACGCCCAGGAGAGGCGCAGATGCGGCGGAGGCGAGGGGCAGCCGGGAGCAGCCCAGGCCCTGGCTCTCCGGGGCTCAGAGGCAGCTGTGGCGCCCTCCCTAAGCACCCGAACTCAGGGACTTCCACTCTGCCTCTCCAGGGTACCCAAGCCCCGGCCCCAGCCCACAGGTCCACAACAGTGTAGCATGGTGCCCTCTGGTGTCTCCGCCACAAGGCACCACCTGGGAACCGAATGCCCAAGAGGAGGAATCTGCAGTCAAATGCTCTGCCCGAGCTGTGCCCCGACCCTAAGAGGAGGAATCTGGAGCGAGCATACAATCAATTTATTTAGTAATACTGGAGAGGCACAAGGCCCAGGGAGCAGAGCCACCTGACATGGCTTCCGCGGCTGCTGCGGGAGTCTGCACACACGCGGTCTCCTGACAAAGATCTGCTCTGACAATAAATATATTCACAATATGTCGCTACACTACTTACCAGTCCCCACAATGTTAGGGGTACCTCCAAATTCAACGAGTCCTCAGGATGTCACTGCATGGTCATCAGCAACAGCCACATGACACATGCCCAAAGAAATTCCTCGGCCCCAGGGTCAGTGTCCACGTCGAGGCGCGTATTTTGTAGATCTCCATTCTTTCTCCTTACCCTGAAGTCCTTCACAGGTTACATGCTGTCCGAGGGAACTGGGCGCTGAGTCTATACACACTCTATACACACTGCACAACACCAGTCCGTACACTTGCAGAAATACTGCTCAAAGATGCTCAAGCAGGGCACGCCATGACTGGCATTTATCTACTGCCTTTTTTCGTTTGGTGCCAGGAATGGAAATCAGGGCCTTGCACTTGCCAGGCAGTGCTTGTGCCGCTGAGCTAAATCCCCTGTTACATTTGTACGGGTAAAAATAAAAAGACCTAAAGATAATACTCTTATATTCATGATTAAAAATTCAAGTAAAAAAGGTCCCGTTTGCTTTCAGACCTGAGAGTGTAAAGTATTAAAAGGAAGACTCCAGAACCATCCGAGGCCAGCGGGGTACCGAGAAGAGCTTAAGGCAATCCAGTGGCCAGGATATTTCCAATTAAAGCTCTGTCTCTCAGAGCGTGCTCTATTTCCTTCTCTTCAATCTTCAAAGATACCTGGAAAGAGACGGACCTCTCATAGTGCAGAACTCATAAAAGCGAAACTGCTACGGTCCCGATGTCTACTGTACACACTTGTTCAGTCAGTCCACCTCAAACCCCAAATCACTTACCTAATTGTGCTCACTATTATTGTTATTATTCTTTGCAGTACCGGGAATCAAACTCGTGTTCTTGTGCTTGCCAGGCAGGTGCTTATGCTGCCGAGCTGCCTCCCTGGCCTGTACTCTCTATTTCTTTTATTTTATTGGTTGCAGAAGTAGGAAAATACCCAGTGCCGTGGGGGCAAACCTTCTAGAACTTTCCAGGATACAGACTGTCCACAGAGACACATGGAAAAGGTGTGCCCCCGGCCCCTTTTCTGTAATCACAGGTTTGTCCTCCACCCGAGCTACATCATCAGCCCCCGATCATCTTTTTTTTAAAAAAATATTCATTTATGTATTTATTTATTTATTTTGTGTGTGTGTGGCCAGCTCAGCCCACCAGGGGGCGGGGCTGGCTGGCCTGTGGTGCTGGGGGATTGAACCGCAGTCCCTGTGCTTTGCTGAGCTTGTTCTAAGTAGGTGCTTTAGACCACTGAGCCATCTCACCAGCCCCCCATCATCTTTTTAAATTTTAATTTAATGTGAGACAGGTTGGTGCTAAGCTTCCCAGGGCAAATTCACATTTGTGATCCTCTCGCCTCAAGCTCCTGGGATTCCGGGCAATGCCGCCGTGCCTGGCTTAACAGCGGTTCTTTTTAAATCTAGTTTAGCCAAGGATAAGTTCTCATAAAAAACACCGAATAAAGAAGCAGTCAGTCATACCTTTGTGAGGCGGACCTCCTTGCTTTTCTTTAATCCTACAATGCCCCTGGACTCTAAGAGCCCAGCGAGTGACAGACACTCTGACTGGTCCACAGCTGCCACCTGCTGTTTGCGACAGACGTTACTGTAGGCTTCGTATAACTGGGAGGAAACAAGGGAGAGAACAAACATTGCTTAAAAGTTGTATCTCATTGCTTTATAATCTTTTTTTTTCCAAAATTTTATTGATAAATACCAATGAGACAGTTTCAAATCAAATCGGAAGTACAGTTTCAACAAATAACACACTGCATATATTCTTCTTAGTGGTTAATTGCTGTACTATAATCTTTTTATTAAAAAAAAAAAGAAATTGGGGGCCGGGGAGACAGCTCAGTAGAATAGGTGCTTGCCTGGCAAGTGCAAAGGTCTGAGTTCAATCCCCAGTTCCACCAAAACAAATAAATAAATAAAAATTTTTAGGGGGTGCCGGGAATCAGAGGACCTTTCTTGCACCAGGGAGGTGCTGCATCAAGGTGTTATCCCTGGCCCTTATTTTTATTTATCTATATTTTTGTTTCTATAGGTTAGGTTAGCCTGGCATTGAACTACTAATGTAGTCCAGGCTGGCCTTGAACTTGCAATGATCCTTTTGCCTCAGTCTCTTGAGTTATATTTGCAAGTCTGGATTTGCAGAAGCTATCGGAATACGCTTTCTGTTTCCAAGACAGGGTTTCCCTATGCAGCTCAGGCTGGTCTCGAACTCATGGGATCCTCCTGCCTCAGCCTCCTGAGTGCTGAAAGGTCAGGCGCGGTACCCCATGCTCGGCCATTCTTCTTTTCGATGAACCCTCCCAACTAATTTGGTACAGGGTCTCATTAGTAGTGATCCTCCTGTTTTCAGCTTCCCCAGTGCTAGGATTACAGATGTATGCGCTCAGTCTCAGTGGCTGGCTCAGCACATCCAGGGGGCAGGGTTGGCGTGGCATGTGGTGCCAGGGATGGAACCCCGGTCCCTGGGCCTGCCTAGGCAGGTGCTTAGTCTGCTGAACTATCTCACTGGCCCTTTCTTTTTTTTTCTTTTCTTTTAAAAATTTTATTTATTTATGTATGTATGTATGTATGTATGTATGTATGTGTGTGTGTGTGTGTGTGTGGCCAGCTCAGCCCACCAGGGGGCGGGGCTGGCTGGCATGTGGTGCTGGGGGATTGAACTGCGGTCCCTGTGCTTTGCTAAGCTTGTTCTAAGTAGGTGCTTCAGACCACCGAGCCATCTCACCAGCCCTCGATGAAACTCTTGATCAACACATTCCACAAATGTTCCTCAGCCCTACACTGTAACACAGGGCAGGGGCTTGGCATAAACATCTCATACGGAGATGCCGTAACAGTGATAAGGATGGAGAGACAGGTAATGAATGAATAATTCTTAACCTCAACCCAAGGCATACACAGCTGTCAGGGCGCCAGGTCCTTAGGACAAGATCCACACCTTCAACAGAGCTCGTCCCACCTCCAGGCCTCCGTCTGCCGAGATCCGACTCACCTTCCCCAGTGTGGCCTCTCTGGCCTTCAGCTGCCTGGTCAGGAGCAGCAGAGAGCAGACCAAGATCTTCTGCTGCAGAGGGAAGGAGTCTGGGGCCCCGTCTCTGCCCAGAGTCATTCTGTTCCCATCCACCTCGGAAATCACTCGGGCTATGTGGGTGAGCTCCACACGCTTGGGAACCACGGGCTCTGAGGGTGACAGGCCTGAGGATGGTAAGACACGCTGTTAGACTTGTCTTTTTGAGAGAGGGTCTCGCCATGCAGCTCAGACTGGCCTTGAGCTCACTTAGTAGCCTAGCCTGGTCTCAAACTTGCAACAATCCTCCTGCCTTAGCCTCTGGAGTGTGAATCACCACATCCACTTCCACTAGCCTTTTTTTTTTTTTTTTTTTTAAACAGGGTCTCCTTATGTAGTTCAGGCTGGCCTGGAATGCACCTTGCAGCCCAGGCTGGCCTCAAACTCACAGCAATCCTCCTGCCTCAGCCTCATTAGGTCTGGGCTGACGTGTGAGCCACCACGCCTAGCTTCTGCTAGATTTTAAAAAGCATGCACGTGTCAGGCCCCTGAGGCTGAGCTCCAGCCACAGGAAATCCAAGTGTGGTTGACAAAGCCAAGATAACTTGGGACTGGGGAAGTGGGGCTGCTTCCTCTAGGGCAGGATCATAAGCTACTGGGTCCTATAATTTGATGTGGGAGGAAGAAGATCCACCTTGGGGAATAGGAAACACCAGAGAGGGGAATGTGGCTTGGAGCCTCCGAGTCCGAGTCCTTCATGCCTCTGAGGTGAAGAACAGGCCCTGGAAGGGGAGGCAGCAGCTGACAGTGACCCAGCGCAGCTGTAGAACACTTAGTGGCAGGCACAGCCCACCCCTCCATGGCCCTGGGCAGCTCCCCCAAGTGGAGCCAGAGGACAGCAGCACTTGATTTTTTTTTTTTTTTTTTTT